TACCTACCTACCCACCCACACCCCCGAAAAAGATCTTGGCAAAAGAGACAGCTATTCTTGTTGAAAATGGATGGGCTTGTTTTCAAAATAAGAATCTCACTGCTTAATTTACATGCCAGAAAAAGAAAGATAAAGAGGGAGGCACAAAATAGCAAAGAGGGGAAAGGCATTGAACAGAAATAGAGGAAGAAAAGGAAGAGAGGGATTATTTAAAAATTGATTTCACATGAAAATACTTTGTTTCATGAAAAAATAATGTGAGGCTCTTAACTAGAAAGCTCTAGGAGGACTTGAGACCCCCGGGCCCCCTGAGTTGTTATACAAAAGGGTGGTCCATGTGTTTTTCTCAGGAAAAGATCCAAATCCTTTAGCCAGTTCTCAAAGCAATCTACGACAAAAGCTAAGAATCACTTGGATGTGGATGCCAAGTTTCAGCTCAGGAAACAAACTTATTTCTGAGCCATTTCAGATAAGTTGTCAAACAAAACAAAATTTTAAAAAATAAACACAATTTCGGGGAGGAACTCAAGATCCTCTTCTGCTAACGCTGCACCCTTTGTCCTGTTCAACTGGATCACAGGCAGATCAAAGAAAGCTAGCACCTGGTGTGGCTTCTTCTAGAGCTGTCCTGGTCATTTCTCCTCATAACCACTGTTTCAGGTGACAGGAGTGGACAGGAGCTTCCTTTTCAGCCCACAAGTCCATTCTTGTTTCTAAACCAGAGTTGAAAATATTGATCTTAAAGACTAAGGACAAAGGAAGATGCCGCCATGTGGGGTATCCTTTGGGGAAAAGACAGCCAGCACAGAGCCAGAAGTCCTGCGTTTTAGTACAGTTGGGAAACCTTGTCACCTGGTCTCTTTTGAACCCTTTCTCCTCTGGAAACGGGGCTGGGTGGAGAGGTAACCCATGAGCTCCCTCCGAGGAGCTGGTGACAGGAAATCAGGCTGGCGTGAGTCCCTAAGCTCTGGTTGAGAGCTCTGCCTTATCCCATTCCCACTCCATACAATGGTGGGCAGCATTTCTAGGAATGCTGAATGAAGTGTTGGAAACTGTGGTCTGTCACACTCACAAACCTAATCCCAAGGATCATATCCTGGCTCACGTTCCCTTGCAACTCTCCCAAGACTGTGTCTCCTTGAGACAGGCTCAATGCAGCTGGACCTCATTCTTCCATCTCCCAAGTGGATGAATGAAGCTCTCCTCACCAATCTCTAAGCCAAATCTTCCCTTGGAAACTCAAAACCTGGCTGCATGAGGGTTGCACCATCAGATGGCATTGTTTTATTCCAACTCACTCTTTGAAAGTCTCAGAGCTACAGAACAGCTGGGCTCTGAAACATTAAGTCAGACTCCACCATCACAACTAATAAGCACTGTTTACTGAGCATCCGTATTTAGTGCAACAAACGGTGCTGCAAGCTCTCCACTCATTCCCTCCTGGAGTCCTTCCATCAGCTTCCTTTAAGGGGCACTGAGATCCATGGAGGTTAAATAACCAAGCAGAAACAGGCTCAGACTCCCAGGCTCATATATCCTGACACCTTCTTAGTTGCACAACATCAGGCTTCCCTCTCCTCTCTCTGTAACCAAAGAAATACAAAGAGAGCCAAGTTCAGGCCAAAAGACCAATTAGTCATCAATTAAAGCCAAGAGGCAACCTGTTATATGCTTTTACAGAACTCAATACAAGTAAATTCTGCTTCAAACAGTATGATGTTTTACTCACACAGACTTACATGCATGGTGTGTGTGTGTGTGTGTGTGTGTGTGTAAAAACACACACACACACACACACAAACACAAACACACAAAATGCACACAAGGTCAGATACATGGTTAAACAAAGAACTGTGTACCAGACACTGTGGCACAAATACACACCACTTTAAAGACCTAAATATGAACTCAAGGGTGATCACAACCCACTAACACATCCAACTACTGAACAAATACAAAAACAGTTAGAAGAGCCAAAAACTCTTTTTTGATCATTTTTGAATCAAATCAAATTGTTCACATTATTTTGGATACAATGTATTTTCTCCAGGCTGAGAGGCTGGAGAAAATGCTCTTGGGCCAAATGTTTGCCAGGGATGTTCTCAGAGGGGAGTAAGATTGCTGTTAGGACTTGAAGAGATTCAACTACATCACCAGAGCAGACAAGGAGACTTTAATATCTATGATTCAAGCTCATTGGAGAGGTCCCTTAGGTCAAAAACTTAAAAAAAAATAAAAAAGAATGCTTTTCAAGGGAGCTTCCACACCCACTGTCTCTTAAAATACACTGTTTGGAACACAGTGGGCTCAAACTTAGACTAGGAAATGTGGGAGGATGGATAGTGTTGTGCATAATTCTGTGGTTTGTTTCAAGTCATTAAAGATCCTTGCTCAACATATAAAGTCAATACGAAAATAATACTTCCGTTCATTTTATAGGCTCGGCAAAAGGCTGCCAAGCATGCTATCCCATTAGGTGCTCCTAATGGCCCTGTTGGAGGCCGGTGTCAATCTTACTGGGCAGAGAAGGATCCCCAAGATGGAATGACTTGCCCAAGGTCACCCAGTGGGTAAGCAGTGGAGCCAGGATGCAAATTGTCCTTCTTAGGATTCCTAGTCCATTGCACTTTGCATTACATTAAGCACTGACTTATGAGACACTATACTTAGATGATCTCACTCCCATATATTAACAATTTTAGAAGGCGGCAAGCCAAGGAATGGAGAAGTCATACAGCAATTACACATGAGAACAGTCAGTGGGACCGGATCTAGAAGGGGAACTGCCTAGCTTTGCCCCTCTTTCATGGGCACTCATGACTAAAAGGCTCACATCCCCATCAGCCAGGTGGGTATGGGGGCAAGCAGAGGTCTGGCCGTCCCCAACTTAGAAACATAGAGATAGGGACAGCCGGATACCCCTCTTAAATCTTACACAGAGCAGGTGCTAACTTAGCATTGCTCCAGGTAAAAGTGAAAGGCGAAGGTGATGTCCCAGCTTTAACAGACTATGTCACTGTGCCCTTCCCTAATCCTAAGGCCAGGGATGCCAATCTGACAAAGCCTTCAAGACGGCCCTTCAGCACCTGTCAGGGGACTTTTTAATAGGTTCCCCATCTCCATGACCTCTCAGGAGTCACCCTTGCAGGGTAGGCAAGGGACCACAGGGGCTTATCCTGTCAATTCTGTCATTATAGTCTCAATTCAGAAAAGAGCTGGGTTGAAATTCAGGCAGTGCCTCCAGATATAAGCTTCATATTCAGTTGGGGTTTTTTAAATATTTTTTTTAGTAGTCAATGGACTTTTATTTATTTATATACATGGTACTGAGAACCAAACCAGTACCTCACACATGCTAAGCAAGAGCTCCCCCACTGCGCCACAACCCCAGCCCCCATGCTGAGTTTTTTGAACCTCAGGTTCACCCTTTTTATCAACTTCATTTCTTAGACAGAAGATTTGGATACAAACACCAAACTACCCTGGGTCTATCCGGCCACACAGCACCGCTAACAAGGATGGGAAGTACAAATCTAGCAAGTTCTCCCTTCCTGCTTTCCTGAACAACCAGTCACTACACTTTACAATCGATCTTGTTCCATTTTCCCTGAAGGTCATTTTTACCCTCCTCCTTCTCCTTTTCACTGTGCTGGAGATCAAATCCAGGGCCTCATGTATGCTAGGCCAACGCTTTACCACTGGGCTCCACTCCAAACCCTGGCATCCCCACTTTGATAGAGGAATAAACTAAGTCTTCAAGACAGTGAATACCTGGCCCAAAGTTACCCAGGTAAGATGAGGTAAAGCCAGGAATGTGGCTTGGACACCATCAGCAACACTCGTCCACATGAAGACATGGTCTAAGACGTTCATTTAGCTCCCCCAGGCCCTTCACTATTTGCCTATTCTATTTAGACCCCTGTGCCAACAGACTTGTAGCTCTGAAAGCCTAGTGCCACCCCTACTGTGCACGGCAGGTGCTGACTGCAGTGGTCTCTGCTGCTCACTCAATGACCAACCTGAAGCACAATCGACATGTCACTTCCCCCAACCTCAACATAATCCAAAATTCCCTGAACTCTCCCACGAGGAAAAATAGTACCAGAAAGTGACCAAAATGTACAGGATTGCTTGATATTATCTAATATTAAGTAACATTGCCAACTAAGCTAGCAGGTCCTCCTTTCATTAGTACACTTCTTAAATCTTTTAATAATGTGTCCACACCCACTGTCTTATGTACTAGACCCCAAAGCAGGGCAGTTGAGCATCCTTATCCCATTTTTCCAAAGAACAACTAGAAGTCAGGGTTTGCCCAAGGTCAAACAAGTTGGCTGCAAAGGAGGATCTGGAACCCACCCATGTTATTCCTTCCGCTACACCTCCCTCCAGAGATGGGGCTGGCCAGCATCGCAAGGAACAGGAAATTGAAATGGCTCCTGGTAAGACAGCAAGCCTGCCAGCCCCAGAGAGAAGTTGTCAAGTGACCAGAGCCCGCCCTGAATTAAAGATCCCTCTTCAAATGAGCTGCCTTCAAACAAATTCCCACCTGCTGCAGTGAAGACATAAGCTCTAAGTGCCTACAAAGCACCATGCCTATTTGTCCACGGAAAGGACCAAGCTAAAAGACAGCTCACACTGGTGGGATGCTGCTGAAAAAGTGAGTTGAAAGGCAGTTTCCCAGTTTGAACTTGTCAGCTTCATTCTCATTCCTAACACATCACACACACACACACACACACACACACCAACACACGCAGGCACCCACACACAGACACATGCACACACACAGAAGCATACATATACACACTTTCCAAAATCTCCACCCCTTATCCACAGAGCTACAGAAAGGTGAAGCGGAAGCCACTCTAGGACAGTAGGCACCAAGCAAACAGGGGGAAGCCCAATTTAAAAGGTGGGAAATTCCTAAGAGCAAAATCATGCACTTCAAGAGTCATGCACGGGTTCCCAAATATTGAAACAGATTTCAATCGCTTTACCTGAGTTGTTTTGGCTCTTCTGCCTTGCATGCTGTTGCTATGGTTAATTTGTGGGTTGGTGGCACCTTCCGAAAGACAGTGAGATTTCCTACAGGGAAGTGTGTTATAATTACTGTACGGAGCAGTCTCTTCGGCAGCAGCTGGTGGCATCTTATGGTTTGCAAGATCAGGAATATCAGACACCAAATTCCGACAATAGCCTGCAAATTTGCTCCTCGGTCCCCCGTTTGCCGTCACCCCAGAGTTTTTCTGAGCATACAAGTCATCCAGGGAATTGGCACGCTGACAGGTGCTGAGCTGCCGGGGACTCGCCTGTGTTTCCATCCCCCGAGCCTCCTCGCAGTCCTTCTCTTCCGCGGAACCCAAGATTTCTTCGTTGCTTGTTAAATGTTCTTGGCTCAGATCAGAGAGTGAGAATTCCAGGCTGTCCTCCCGCCAGATGTCTGCAGATTTGGAGCGTTTCTTCTTAAAGCTCACAGTCTCCATGAAAGTGGGCCCGTTGGATGTAAAGGGATGCTGCCTCCTGTCTCCCTCAGCCAAGTACGTAGCGTCATCCCCGTAAAGCCTGCTCTCCTCCGAGTCTGGCATGCTTTGCACGGAGGCTGCGGTGAGGACGATGCTGCTGTCTACGCTGGGTGTGACAGAAGAGTCGGTGTAAGACACGGGTCTCAAGCCCATATCTACTCGGTCCACCCAAATGGGGCTCCCGAAGTCCTCTAGGGTGCCTTCCTGGGAGAAGGGTTCCAAGCCATTTTCGGCCAGGGACTGGGGGATGCTCGGGGTGCTGCTGGATCGGGTGCTCACTTCCGAGTTCCTGTGGATCACCTTTCCCGAGGAGGCGTGCCTGGTCCGCCGCGTCTTGTGTGACAGGCGCAGCGAGCGCGACGTGTGCTTGCGCCCCAAGCTGGCATGCTTTTCTCCGTAAAAGTCATGGTCTACATTCTGACTTTCTGCGTTTCCCATGGTTTTATGGTCTGCAGCAAAGGGGGAGGGGGAACAGAGGGGATAACTGAGTTACTTTTAGAATGGGTTTAGAGTCCGACACAGCTCGCAGGGCGGGCAAACACCTTGGCTTGGCGGGGGAAGGTAATGAACAACCCAACTTCTTACATGCCCCGGGGCAGTTCTGTGGACTTTTACCTGGTTGCGGATGAGAACTAGCATCATCTGCTGAGGTTGTCCCTGGAGATGTGAAAGGTGCCTAAGAAGGATCCTTAGAGTGTTAGATTAGTCCCCAGAGGGCAGATGCCCAAGGACATCGAGAGTGCCTCTTTTATACACCTGGCAACTCCTCTATTCCTAAATCCACGATTATATGCCAAAAGTTCTACTCCTATAATAAGTTGAAAACCCTAAAGTTCAAACCAATGTATCTACCCAAGGAGTATTTTTCTGTTTGGAATTAGGTATGTATTCCAAAGCAAACAAAAAAAAATTCAGAGGTGTGGGCTGGGGCTGTAGCTCAGCGGTAGAGCATTTGCCTAATGTGTGAATCCTTGGGTTCGAGACCCAGCGCCACACGAATAAATAAAATGAAGGTATTGTGTGGAGTGGAGGTAGGGATGGGTAAAACAAAATAAAAAACCCTGTTCAGCATCAGACTAATGGGTTTAGTTCTGGGAGCAAATCCAACCTGCAAACATGAATCTGGTACAGAGTGCCCTGCAAACAGAAATTCCCATTATAAAACCACTAAATATCATCCAGTCTGTCTTTTGGGGCTATCCAGGTCAACTCAAATCCCTCCTTACTGTTTTCCAAGTCTCTGTTGCTGACCCAATAGCACAATTCTGTTATACACAGCAGCGAAGAAGAAAGTCTCCAAAGCTCAACAACCATGACTCTACTTAGCTTCTTCTCCTTGCTCCACAGGTCTGTCCCTCCACAGCAAATACACTCAAGAAAATACGTGAACACAGTGGGAAGGAAAGAGGGAAGATAGAGAGGAGGAGGACATATCTCTGAACTCGTTATTTTAACCAGCTACATGACTGCTCACTTATTTACTAAGCACCTACCACGTTCAAGAAGCCAGAGACAAAGCAGAGACACATTCCTCATTCTCATGAAACTGATAATCAGCCAGGGGAGGAAAAGCAATAAACAAGAAAGTAAAAGGCACAAGAACTTGCCGTGACCACTGCAGAGAGAGCAAAACACATTGGACGATAACATACCTTCATACTGGTTCAGGAATCACTCTGGAATTCCACTACTCAGTCTAAATGCTGTTTAAGGTCTCACTGTACATCTTTACTGAAATAAAATTTATGGCAAGAGGGAGGGAAAACCTCCCCTTACTGTTCCAGTGAGTTCAGAGGTAATTCATAAAGACACCAGATGTTAAGTTATTCCTCTGCTGGAATAGTCCCTACTAGGCCACACATCGTAGGATTCTCAGAGGGAATTTTCCAAAAAAGAGAATCTCCCTTTTGGTAGCAGCAAGTACATTTCAAAGCAATATGTTCACGCTTCTCTGGCTAGTATGTTTAAGAAGCAAAGGAAAAAAACTCATTATAGAAAAAAATGAAAAAAATCAACTGTCCACCTGTGACCACTGATGTTTACCTTAACTCCTAAGACAAGCATGGGCCACATTTGTCTTTTTACAAATCAAGCAAATAAATACACATTTCCATAACACTAAAGGCCAGGAGCGATTTCTTAGAGTTCTTGATTTTTCAAATGTATAAATTAAGATGTCTACATATGGCTATGTAACTATGTTTTGCCAATAAATAATAAAAGAATAAATGATAGTCAGAGCCCCATTCTGAGAATCACATTCAAAAGGGGAGATGGCTCGGGCAGTAGCTCCGTGGTAGTGAATACATGCATGGCCCTGGGTTCAATCCCCAACTCCGCCACACACATCCCCCAAAGAAAAGAGGAAAAAATAATGGTGAGATACATTGATTGAAAGAATGGGCAAATCTGTCACCTCAAACTTGCTCAGATTTACCCTCCTCAAGCACACATACATATCAAAAGTTTGCTAATATAAATTGACAGACATGTTTTCAACAACTTTCTGGTTGGGTTCATTTCTGCCAACAGAAAACTAATCAAGTTAAAAGCCTCAGAAGAGGTTTCCTTGGGAAATGGCCCCAACCCTCAAGAATTACAGCACTCCATGCATCACACTGACGGGTCTGCTATATTAATAGCATTTTTAGTAGCAAGAGTCTTTTCAGGCAGCCAAGGTAGGAAGGACGCCACTTTCATCTTCAGAACTAGAATTTCGAGACGAACGCCAAATCTCCTAAATCCTTACCAAGAGAGATTCTCAGGCCACAAAACTTAAGAAAAATAAGTTTCTAGGGGGCTGCAGAAATACCTCTTAATTTGAAAGCTTTTCCTGAAAGGTTAGGGAAAGGTCCAGGAGGGGCATCCATAGGGGGCTCCGAAATAACATACACATGAAAATATTTTTATAGATTGCTAATGGTCCCAGGTAGTTTTCACATTCCGGGGATAATTGGAGGTAGTGAACAAAATTTTAATGCAAGAAAACTTTCAGTATTTAAACCTCGAGTTTGACTTCTAGACTTTTCTTTTTCATCTGTGCTCTACCTTCAGGCTTTACTGGCCTACCTCAGGGCCCTCCTTGCTCATGCTCCTCCCTCTGACTGGAGCCCTCATCCTGTCCAGCATCTGCCTGGCTCATTCCCAAGTTCATCCACCCAAATGTCACCTTGTGAGGAGACCTTTCCTGGCCTGGCCTCTCTAAGGTGACAGCACCTCCTGCAGAAAACAACCCTTCTTATCCCTCCTCTTCTGTTTTCTTCCTTAGCCTGTATGATAACACACAATATAGTTTGGTGACTTGTCTTTTTTTATTTTCTATTCTTCCCCACCAGAACTAAGCTTCAGGAGGGCTGAAAATTTGACTTGTCTTGTTTCCTGCTGCATCTTCAGTGGCTGAAACTCAGCCTGAAAAGTAGTAGGTGCTCAATGAAAAAAAAAAAAAAAAAAAAAACCCTGGGTGAATGAATGCCAAAATGTACTTCAATGGCCTGACGGGTTCGTATTTGCTCACTGTGTTCCTCACCCTGCCTCCTGTCACCTGAGGGGAAATTAAGGATTTGCTCCGGTCTGGTTCCACTGAATGCCTGCCTTCAGTTCCTCTCTCCCACCTTCTTCTGGAGCTGCCTTGCAGAAGCCTGGGATCAGGCTAAGGGTTGAGAGGCCACCCCTCCCCAGAATCAGGGTGGCTAGGGCAGAACTATCAGCCCCAAGACAATCTAAGGGAAATGAGGGGATGGACACATCGGCATGATAAGCAGAGGTGACATCGAAAGTGGCAGGGGATCAGAAGGTTGAGAGATCACAGAGAAGTCTGAGGGTCAGAGACCAAGGATCGGAGGGTGAGCGTGTCTCTGCCGAGCTCATCAGCCCCAGGATCTCTCTATTCCAGTGGTGAATTAAACTTTTCAGTGAGTAATTACACTACATGTAGTTTTTAAATCCCATCAAATTCAATACACAGAGAAGGAGCTACAAAGCCCCGTAGGGAACTTTATCCATATGCACAGACATCGATTAGTCAGGGTGTTTCACACGTACACCAGGTAGGAGGTGATTTCTCAGGATGTTTCAGCCTTATGTGGTGAAATGATGGAGAACTATACACACACATCGAAACAATGTCAAATTCCTGACTATGGCATTTACTATCATTATGCAAAATGCAAACACAAGGAGAAAACTGGGTGATGGTTACCCCTTCTGTAAAAAATTTCTTTGAATCTATAACTATTTTGAAATAAAAAATTTAAAACAAACCCACCAAGTCTTAATGAACTGCCATATTCTGACCAAATGAAATGTCAGTTTAAAAGTAAGGATTCTTCCTGAAGAAAAAGTACATGGATCACACATCTGCTCCCACCCTCCACCCCTGCCCTTTCTTTTTGGCTAAAAAGAACTGAAAAAGAAAATCCTCTGGTGCTGTGTGTAAGTCCACACACAGCCCAGACTCATTCTTCAGATACCCAGAACATTCGAATGTAATTCCCATGAATCGAACAATAAGAAATACTTATTTATTGAACACTTTCTAGTGAATTGCTATCAGGAAATATAAAGCAAACATACACTGATGGTCCACAATGAGTTGATTACCTGGGGATAGAGCTTTTGTCTTAATAAATTAGTGAACAAAAATGAATTGTTAATATCTAGCACCAGCGGTATGGACTAAACTACCCTGGCCTATCTCACCTCCAATAGCTGCAACTAAAAATGCTAGACAAAATGTAAACAAAAGCAGACAGATGGAGGAAGAGAGTCAAAACTCAAAGAGCCACTCTTACAATGGTAGCTTCTTACCCAGGCTTGCTCCAAGGGTGGACACCAGTATAGCTATGGAACAAGAAGCAAAACCATCAGGACAAGCCCTGTTGTTCTGCCTAGAAGAAGTGAGAAAGATCCCAGCAAGCCAGACACCTGGATGTCAGAGAAAAGAGAACCGGAAAAAAAAAAAAAAAAATCCTCTGGTGCTGTGTGTAAGTCCACACACAGCCCAGACTCATTCTTCAGATACCAAGAAAATTTAATCAATTCCCAAGGATAAAGACAGTAGAAGCCAACTCCAAAGTGGCCTAGAAATGGAATTATCAACACAGACTTTTAAAGCAGTTGTTATAACTGTGCTCCTTGAATAAAGGTAAACACTCTTGAAATAAATGAAACACTGAACTGCTTGCAATGTCTATGAAGATCATCGTGAATGTCAATGATGACGCATGAGTAGAGAAACAGAACACATATGAAAAAGAAAGGTAACATACAAAGTTTGGGTCATAAGTAGAAGCCTGTATATGAACCCATAGGCCTTTTCTTAACTTAAGAAAATCATTTGGGAATCTACTAGCCATGATGGAATGTTCCCGCCTACAAAAAAACTTGAACTTGGAAAAGTTTGAGCTATCATTTATATTAGGGAATAAAAAGGTAAGCCGTATACGACCCCAGATGTAACATGTGTGCTACATTTTCCAAATCAATCTAATGTTATATTTTCTCAGTACTGCATGAGAAAACATCCCAATAAATAGGAAGCCGCCTCACAGGTCAAAGTTGCAGGCACAGAGAGCAAAGGAAAATCCTCCAACAAGAGCAGATTGTTGAGGGGGAGAAGCGGGAGGAAAAGGAAAAAAAATAGAATGGCATCTGGAAATAACTGCATTGCCTTGAAGACTAAGGAGGTTACAATTAATATTTTTATGGCTTAGAATGTCTAATTCTCTAAAGACACCCGAGGTTCCAGTGGCGCCCCTAGCAGACATAGGAGGATGCTCCACACCACAGCAGAGGAACAGGAGCAGTCGCCATGACCAAAGGCCAGCCTGTGGGTCTTCGGACCAATACTTGCCGTATTTGAGAGCAAATAATGAAAAAGATGATCTTGCCATTGAGATCCAACATCAGTGGAGCAAAATTTCTCCTATCAACAAGTGAAAAACCTACATTTGAGGTGCATTTCCAAGATACGAATCTCAAAGCAGGTTAAATTTTGAATAAGTAAATATTTCCCATACCTACACATGCAATGAAAAAAAGTTTTAAAGTGACTATTCAGGATAAAGTGCTTTTGGGTCATTTCAATTTTCATAATACTTTCTTTTTAAAAAAATTTCTAAAGTTCTTATACCAAACATGAAATTCATTCTTTTCAGGAAAGGGGAAAAAAAAAAACAAAACAAAACATGTTAACAGGTTTTGAGTCACAGAATTTGTTTTTTTGTTGTTGTTGTTTTTGGCCCATTAAAGAGAGTAAGGATGTAGGCACTATGCCCACAGCTATGAAGGAGTGTCACCAAACCCAAACTCCAGACAGATGGCCTAGGGAAAGTACCTAAGATAAAGAATACACGATCTGGCTTGGAATTAATCCCTTATTTTTTAATATTTTCAATTTGTTTTTTTAGTTGTAGATGAACAAAATACCCTTATTTTATTTGTTTACTTTTTATACGTTGCTGAGGATCCAACCCAGGGCCTCACCTGTGCTAGGTGAGCGCTCTGCCACTAAGCTACAGCCTTTATTTCAAGAATACAACAGCACTTTATTTGACCTCCTCTCATTGCATCTGTAGTAGGGTGACCTTGACCCTTCCTGTTTATTATAATCTTCCTGTGGCAGAGACCAGGTCTTATCATCATATTTATAACCTAAATTTCCTTAACTTTTAATTTGGGGGAGGACTTTTCATCATTGAGATTGCCTTAAAACAAGGGAACTCCAAATATAAAAAACGTAAGATTCCAGTGCTAAGCCAGATAATCCAATTCATAGCATATTCAACACAAAAGTTAAGCATGAAGTCAAGGTTCTCTGTTGCTGGTAAAGATAGTGAGATCCAACCATAAGGCATGTTATGATGTATCTAAGATATAATTATTAATAACATCAGTTTTCATTCCCCTGAGGTATTTAAAAACCTATTAAAATAAATATAATCATTACCCTTCTCTGACTTGAAAACAGACCTCTGAAGCCGCAGGAGAAAGGATGGAATGTATTTATTTCAAAGTTAAATTTGAAGCAAAAATCACAAGACAACAGATTGCAAATTTAAAATTAGATTCTAGTGGGAGGTCTTGGTTTCAAGCCTGTTTTTTCCCTACTGGATGTTGCGCTTGAAGCAGAGGGGGAAAGAGCTAAGATTAAACTGAGACTAAGTTCTGAAAGTTTTTGCTAAATCGTTACAACCCATGAATAGAGTTTTGCCAAGTCACACACAAATACCTCTAACCCAAGAGACTAAACAAGAAAGTTTTGCAACAAATAAAAGATGATCTTTGATTTAGAAAAGATTATTATTTTGACTGCTTATTTGTGCTTTTTAAAGATTATCCAAAGCAGAAACAAAATAGATCCTTGTTCTGAGGCTGGATTTTGAAGCTAGGTTTGCCTTTTTCAAACATAATCCAAGATAAAGATGGTGAAACTCAGGGATAAAAGATCCCCGAGGGCAATTCACAGGGGGATAAAAGATCTCATAGGTACCTGCTTGGTCTTTTCCTTTTGTTTTAAGTCTAATGCTTTTGCTTTGTTGGATGGGTGTAACCCTAATCCAAGGAAGCGATTCCAAATTCTTTTTCCCATGAGCTACATACAACACAGCAATTTCGACTGTGATAAAAATGCAACTGTCCCACCGCCTTTGCAGCAGTTCTACTTGGTGCAGACACACAGAGGCTCAAATCCACACAGGCAAACTTACCTTAAAAGGCAACAGTGGTCCCCAGCCCAACTTGCCCCCAAAGCACTGTGGCATTTAGATATTGATGTTGGAAATGATGTCAGCGGTTGGGGCTGGGGCTGGGGAAGGTGTCAGCACCTGCCCTCCTGCTCCGTGGCCATCAGGATCTCATCTGAGTCTGGAAGAATGTGCCAAAAACCTGGAGAGGAGAGGGTCAGAGGGGACAGAAAAAAAAAAAAAACAGAAGGGAATGGTCAGCGAGAAAAAAAGGAAATGGGCATCTCCCATCAAGATCATCTGCATTAATTATCCCACATTGATCTGGGGTGCAACGGAACACAAAGTTGCCCCAAAAACCCGAAATCAGAGGATGCAACATTTAGCTACAGGTATAAAGTGACAGGCTTAGTCAGAGATAAACAAAGGCCAGCATCCCCACATTGGTGGTCATAACTAGCCCTGCACACGAAGTCATTTGGTCATTTTAGTCTGTTTCTGTAAGATGATGACATTGGATCACAGAAACAGGTTGCTGTCGGGTGATTTCGATTACCCTCTCTTACTTTTCAAAGAATCTCAAAAGAGAAACGGAAGGCAACAAAGGAACCTCAGTTATTCTCAAACTACAGCTGCATTGAGATGGAAGTTGAAGAAAACACTAAAAGACAGGGGGGAAAAAAAAGAGACCAACTTAAATCCATAGCCCTCCTCGTCATGTGCATGTTTTTTCTTAAGATGAAAACATCACATTCATAGAAAACTCATATGAAGAATATACACAGAGAAAAATTCCAATTGTTATTTAACAGCAAAAGTAAATTGAAAAGGAGGGCTCCCAGAAAAAGCAGGGTTAATGGTCCTTTTGATTCTTTTTTTCTTTTTTCCTGTTGTTTTTAAACAGTTTGCCTTTTGAGGTGAAATTGGGAATGCAAAGGCAGGCAAAAAGGCCTGGAGGGTCTCTGTGAATGGCTTCGTTTCATTACTTTCCAACTGGACATTCCCCTGTGGACTGCCTGCCGCTGCCACCCACTTGCTGGTGGTTTCAGCAAGGTAGGAACAAGGAGAGAATTGCCCACTTGTAGAAAAGAAGCAGAGAGAGGCAATAAGTAAATAAATTATACATCCACACGGAACAGAACAAGAAGTGAAGTTTCGCGCCTTCCTCATCTTGGAAAATGTGCTATTTAACCATGAAGCTAGTGACTCACGCTTGCAGGGGAAGGAACAGGAGTTCTAGCAATACCCCATCATTACCCCCACAAAACTTGCCCTTTCATGAGTCCCCCCATGGCTACCCTGTTTATTCCCTTTTCCTGGGCATCCTCTGTGAACGGCTGTCTGCAAATTTCCAAATTTTCAAAGCAGTCCCTGAATTGCTTAGAACTGGCAGAAATTAATAAGCAACAACCCATTTATATTGAAATGGACTCATTACGGTGCCAGCTGCCAATAATTTGCAAGGCTGGGTTCTTGCTGGCAAAGGGGCCTGCGGGCGGCTGTCCTTCCACCTGCACCACAGAGGCTGACGGTGCAATTTGTACACTATCAACCAGACTTCATTTTTTTTTTTTCTATCTATATTCTTCAAGTCCTTGAGCAAAAGAACTAAAGGAAGAGGAAAGTTAACATTATGGAGTGTTATTTATGAAACACAAAGGAAAGCAACACTGAATCAATAGGCATCTTTTATTATTATCAATATTATTATCATTATTATTATTATTGTTATTTTGGTAGAAACAAATTGTATCCATGACCCGGGCTGTGGAACTGATCCATGAGGTGGACAAATAAAGGCCTCCACATTTATTATTGTACAAGCAGCAGGTAAGCTAAGGCCCCACCAAGTGATCAGTTCTTTTCAATGCTAGCTTCTATTTCTGCTGTTATTTAACATTTGTAAGACATGAGGAGTGTCCTAGGGGGTAGGCTAGTGTTATGGAGGCTAACATGACACTTATTTCATTGAAAATGAATCTGTTATAAGTTGAATGAAATCAATAGCCTTCAATTTGTCAGCAAAGAATATGGTTGAGTTTATTAACCCGGCTGGAAGATGCTGTGTGCTCAATTTGCCACAGCACTCCCCGCCCCCCCACACACACATGTGAGCCATGCTCAGGAGTCCCTCTGTACCACCCACCTGCTTGCCTTACAGTGAAATGACATGAATACTCAATAGACCGAGTTTCTCAACATCACTATGATTCACGCTCAACTCATACAGTAAGATTCTGGGTCAGGTGTCAAATGACCAGCTTTCACCGGGAAGTGTGTGTTACCGTGCTGGTGGGAAAGGAATAACCAAAACTAATCTCAGCCTTCAAATACCTGCAAGAATAGGGCTCAGAAGCCCCACCGATCCAATCCTATGGCATGATTGACGATGAAACCAAGACATGTGTCAGAAACAAGTGCCCATGGCATCGAATCCCTGGCTTTTCCTAAAGAAGTCTGCTGGACCAGAATTTTTCTTTCTTCATCTTCAAAAACACCCATTTTTTTTTGTCATTTTTAAGTTCTTACAAGTTTCAGAAATCAAATTATATAGAGAAAAGTGTATTATACTTGTCCCACAAATACCCAGGTTCAATTACCGGACTTTCTCACTCTCTAAAAGTATGTGATCTTGGGTTACTAAATGATCCACTTTGACAACCACCGGGGAAAAAAAAAGGATGTAGTAGTGTCTGCCTTACTAACACCCACCTGAAAGGATGTTTATAAGAAAGAAATTAAAGAATCACTTTATGGCATCCTCAGCCATAAAATTCTACATAAGTGTGTTAGTTCTTTTCCTATTTGTCTTTTTTTTAGTACCCAAGGAAGTTCCATAATTAGTGAATTAATGAGAATCAGGTAGTTTCCCTCTACCCGAAACCTAAAAAAGGGAGAGAGGATGTAGAGATCTTGGGTCAAAATTCTTAACATTTATTTTATATGTAAATAAGCACCAGAATGATTTGGTTTTTAGTCTTCAAGTTAGCTCCTGAATCAGTATTGATTGTATGCACAGATGGATGGATGGATCTGGGACACCAGAATATAAATTTTAGAAAGTTAAAAAATTAATCAGTCGTCTTTTTAACTGCTTTTAACTGTTACTTTCTTTCTTGAAAAGACTCGAAAGTGACTTCCAAGGATATAGAATTTAAAATAAAATAAAGGAAATTACTTCTAGAAAAAAGAGGGAAAAATAATCGCAAAGGTAAGACCAAGACCAAGGACACGAAGGGCGCTGGTGTGCACCAGGTCACTGCCAGGAAGCCTGTGACAGCCACCTCCAATGGGGACTGCGATGACCACAGCGAAGTTCACAGTGTCCTCACAAACTGCTCAGAAGAAGGACACACGTCCTTGCTATTAGGATCAGATGGGAATTTCCACTGTGGCCGCCTGAGGCCACTGTGATAGGATGAACCATGTTCTGAACTTTGACAATTGATTAAAAAGAAATTACAATTCAGGGACAGCAGCTGGGAAAGAGAGGATAAGGCCGGGTGGGCAGGCTGCTGCTGCCTCCCAGGAAGCACCGTCTGCCCTCCATCCACAGGGCCGGATCCAGAGGAAGGACTGAGACCAGAAGGTGGGGCTCTCTGGTTCCAGTAGAGGTGGGTCCAGCTGCCAGATGGCCACACCCCACCTGGGGTTAAGGACAGGTTCCACCCTGGGGTGTGCTTGTCTGGCTTTTGGGAAAGCTGAGACTGCAGCTAAGAGTCAGACAAAGAGATGAGGTGTCCACCTTCCCTCCTGACCCCTGGCAGCTCTGGGGCAGGGCCAGGACTCTGAGAAAAATTGATCTCTCAGCACAGATGAATGAGCCAAGAAAGGGGCCCCAAACTCCTATTCCATAAAGCATGAATGACCTGATTGTAGGCCAATTGGTGGTTTTTTGTTGTTATTGTTGTTTGTTTGTTTGTTAAAACAGACACTCCAAGCAGCCAAACAAAACCCCCCAAACTTTCCATATCCACGGATTGCTCTAATTTTCAGCAATAGTACTTCCTAATATACCCCAATGTATCCCAAAGTAAGAAACATATTTATAGAATCAATACTTTTTACAAGTTGGGAGCTATCTACTAAAATCATTTTAATTTTAGAGCAGTGAATCTTTGGCAATACTCGATCAAGTTCAGCTGGGACAGACGTTACCATGTTTCTTACGAGTAAAGTCAGTGCATTTCAAAATGAAGTAATGTGTTCTACCCCAGCCCAGGGAGAGCTGCCATTTATGGAAAGCTCACTATCTGGCTCACCTATGTTAAGTGGCTTTAGGCCAAAACACTCAGATTCTAAGTTTCCCTAAGTTCTGGGTGTTTATCGTCTTGCGACTACTCTTAGACACCTCCAACCGGTGACTGCCAAAGTATTACAAAACCGAATCAGTCACTGCAGAGTTCCCTACTAGTATCACTCAAGGGAATTTGGAAACCACCAGTCCCAGAGGTCTCTGCTGCACAGCTGGCCATCCAACCCACCCACCCACCGCAGATACCCCTGCAGCCCAACACTTTAGGCTCCTGGGAGGCCCTGGCCTGCTGAAGTGGACATACCATGAGACTCACATGATTTCTCAGAAACCCCTTCCCATTTCTAAAAGCCATGAAGCTACTGCACACTTGAGAATCCCTCCCAACACTCCAAGAGCAGTGACCAGATCACAGCTTTGGGCTCTTGGTTCCTAAATTATCGATTTTGAGTTACATCAAAAAAGCTCTTCCCATTGTCACTGCGAGAGACTGTGGAGCGTTTGATCCCAGAAGAGAAATGGAAATAGAGCTGAATGTAGCTCGCTTCCAATGCTGACCTCTGTCCTTCACTGCTGTGCCCAAGCTGCAGCTTGATTTCCAGGGCGTTCCCAGTGAAAGAACTAGGTTAGCTGGGTGCCCTTAAGGAGAAAGAGGGAGAGGATGCTACTCTCCCAGAGGTGCTTTCACGCCTCCTATAAAACATCACAGAATTGAATCCTTAAACTTCATACCAAAGTTATGTTCTCAGGAGCACTTCGACATCTCCGTTTAGGAGAGACTTCCATTTAAAATCACTTTGCCCAACAACAAATTTTCTAAAACTGGGCCACCCAGGTGTCTTTCCCTTGGTAGATGTCTCTCTCATCATCCCCCTGCCCCACTGGGGGCCCAGGAGCTTCACCATGTTCAGGAAGAAACCATGTTTTCAGGACACACAGCTGGCATG